CTTTTCTTGTTTACTTTTACAAACGGCGAACTTTGAACTTTGACTTGCGACTTACTAGTCCCAGAATGCATATTGACTTCAATGATTATTTCGTTTTGATATTTACATCCAAAAAAGGGGATCCCGCTATCTGAAATCGAATTTTTATACAGCTGCATGTCCAGCTGAAAATTCGTTTTGCTGACACCATCTATCGGTCTTTTTTCTAATACTCTCTTTGCAGATCTCTTTCCTATGAGTTAATTCCAATGAGTATATCTCACGATGCCATATTTTTGATAACTAACAGTGGAGTACGGCATGCGCATGTGGGAGGAGAATATGCCAAAAGAAGAAGTACTGTAGAAAAAGCTCTTCGAATGTGAGTTTTTTGTAATATTCTTCAATTTTTGTTCGAATTTGTTGTTCTAGTTTGAATGTGGCATCGTGGCGCGATGTGACACATCAGCTTATTCAAGAGAAATCCCATCTTTTTGATGCTTTCACATTGGATTGCGCCTTGCATGTTGTAAGCCTCTTTTGTATCTCATCCATTTGTGATCTAGTAAACAGATCTTTATGGAAAGGTATTGACAGGTTGACGAGATTGATCGGACGGTAAAAGCAAGTGAAGCACTTCTAGATAATGATATTACTCATTTTGGACGATACATGTGTGAAGGTCACAGTTCCCTAAAGTAAGCCAACTGCTGCTAGACTGCATATTTACATTCAGCAGAAGTCTTTCAGGGATAAATACCACGTATCATGTCCAGAAATTGATGAGTTGGTATCACTAACTTTGTCATGTGAAGGCGTTTTTGGTTCACGAATGACTGGTGGTGGCTTCGGTGGCTGTACGGTCACGCTTGTCAGAAGGGAGAATTTGGAAGATGTGAAAAATTATATAAAGGTGAGCAAAATGATTTAGTCACTATCTTCGGTGGTTTTTGCGGTACTCAGAGATCAAGCGAAGTCCTTGTTCCATTTGTATGGAAAGCCTCATCGTGAGGGACCCGTCATACTTCGTCGAAAAAAGCCCAGAAAAGCGCGAAAAA